ATTGTTTGTCAATATTTTATCTGAAATCTTATTTCATTTCAGTTTTTGAAAGTTATTTTTGGCATTTAAAAATGTCACTGCAATTAAGCCTATATTTGGTGGATTTATTTAAAGCAATCTATTGATTTACATTTAAGATTTAAACGGTCCAGCTTTGTTTCTAAAATGCTAACTTAACGCTGAATAACATGTGCTTACATGGATACTGTTGTTGTGAGCTGTCAAATTGATTCCAACTCATAGTGACCCTATATGACAGAGTAGAACTGTCCCATAGGGTTTCCTAGGCTATAATCTTTATGGGAACAGATCTCCAAGTCTTTTCTCCCTCGGAGCTGCTGGTGGGTTCAAACCTCTGACCTTTTGGTTAGCAGCTGAGTGCTTAGCCATTGCACTACCAGGGCTCCTTTACATGAATGCTACTAGTGTTTTATACTGATTGTTTCTATAAAAATTAATCATATATGATATAGATCTCATTTGATTGCCATTAAATTAAAATTTTATGTTAAACAAAAGTATACCAAAAGAAATACTTCAAACATAAATATACAGGCATCAGTAACATGCAAATTTTGACATACAAATAATAAAATATAATTCCGTCCATTTGAAGAGTTAGAATAAAGGCATGTGTAGTAAGGCAACTGCCTTGTATACAGTCCTACAAATGGTGTAATTTTTGCACTTCCTTCATCATTCTAGTACTTTACTACTCACTTGGTATTTGATAGCTTGTGTTGGGCTGACTGGAAATTTTAAATATGTGAAAAGAACCTGTTGTGTTGGAGACTTTTTTCCTTTCTTTCTGAAGTTTCTAAAAGTTTTAAAGTTTTGTATTTCATGTTTAGTTTTTCAATTTACTTGGAATTTAGTTTTCTGTGTAGTACTAGATAGAAATCCAATTCCATTCTCTCTCCTGTGAAAAATTAGTTGTTCTAGCACTACGTATTCAACGGTTCCTCCTTACCTTTTTGATGTCTTATCAAAATTATCTTGATTATTCGTGCCACTTTACACTTTCAAATAACAACCCCCATGTCAAGGTGCAGGGGAAGAAACCCTGTCAGTACTTTGAGGTGGAATTGCATTGAATCTATGATTTGGGGAAAACTGCCATCTCTATCTTACTTCATTTTCATATCATGATCATGGTATATCTCTCCATTTATGTGGGTCTTCAGTAATCTTTTATTATTTCTTCTAGAAACATCTTGCACACATTTTGTTAGATAATTAAAGTTATTCTTACATATTTTGGTTGCTAATGTAAATAGTATTTTTTAAAATTGTATTTTCTAACTTGTGATGCTAGTGTATAGAAATAAACAATGATTTTTATAAACAGTAGTCATATCCAAAGCCCTTGTTGAATTCTCTTATTAGGTCTAAAAATATATCTGTATATTCTCTTGGATTTTCTTTTCATACAATCATATTGTTTGTTACTAATGACAATTTTGATTCTTCCTTCCAATAACTATAATTTACATTTAGCTTTCTTTCAGTATTGAAATGACTAGGACCAATGTTGAATAGAAGTGGTGTAACAGACATCATTGTGCTCATGGTTTTAAAAGAATGCTTCTAACTTCTCATCACTAAGTATGACGTTCGCTGCAAGTTTGGAATTGTCGTCGAGTTGACTCTGACTCATGACGATGAGCTGTCCCATACAGTTTCCAAGGAGCGTCTGGTGGATTTGAACTGCTGACCTTTTGGTTAGCAGCCGTAGCTCCTAACCACTACGTCACCGGGGTACCCTTTATCAAGTTATGGAATTTTCCTTTTACTGCTATTTTCCTAATGTTTTCGTTGTTAGTTGTTGAATCAGCTTCAACTCACAGCAACCCCATATACAACAGAAATGTTGCCTGGTCCTGCGCCATCTTCACGATCATTGGTATGCTCCAGTCTATTGTGGCTTCTATGTATTTTGAGTGCTTTTCAACCTAAGAGGCTCAAATTTTTCTGTATCTATTGAGATGATCTTCGAAATTTTCTCCTTTAATCTCTTAATGTAGTAAATTGCACTAGTAGATATTGTGATTTTAAACTATACTTCCATTACTGAGGAAAACTCAACTTGGACATGATATATGATTATTATTGTTGTTGCTATTATTCCCCAAAGTCAGATTCAGTTTACTAGTATTTGGTTAGGATTTTTGCATCTATGATCATAAGTGAAATTGGCTTGTAATTTTCATTTCTCATGCTGCCCTTATTAGACTTTGCTATCAAGATTTTACCAAATTTATAACTTGGGGAATGTTTCTTTTTGTTTTAGTATTCTATGGAAAGGTTTATGTAAGTCTAGATTTATCCATTCCTTTGAATATACAGTAGAACTTGCCTATATAGCTACTTGGCAGTAGAACTTGCCTACACAGCTACTTGGATCTGGTCTTTTTCTTGGAGGGCGCATTCTCAACTATTGACTCAAGTTTCTTTAACAGTTATAGATTTATTCAGATCTTCTTTTCCTTTTTAATATATTTTTGAGGAAATATACATTAAAAATTTTGGCTTTTTTTTTTGTAGTACACTCATATTTTGCTAATCTCTGAATTCTCTTTAGTGTTGCCTGTTTTTCATTCCTAATGTTTCTTTTCTCATTTTCCTTGATGCATTTTCCCAGAGATTGGCCTACTTTATTAATCTTTCAAGGAATTAACTTTTGGCTTTGCCGATCATCTCTATTGCATTTTTTATTACACTTGCGTTAATTTTTTGTTCTTTAGTATTTATTTTCTTCAGGATTAGTTTGTTCTTTTTGTAACTTAAATTAGATGCTTACAACATTAATTTTCAGCTTTTCTTCTTTTTCAATATAAGCATTTCTTACCCTCTAAGTAACAATTTCCCACAAATTTTAACATGTATTATTTCTATTATTATTCAGTTCTAAGTATAACAGGATTTTGGACAAGGAGGGCTAATGGGATGAAATCAGAATATAAATTCATTTATTTGCCACACTGCTTATTCAAGCCCACTTTGAGGGTTAATTTTTCCCAATACCCTAGAATGGAAACTAGGAAAAGTCACATGATTCTCCTGGTTTCTCTTAATAAAAAATATCTTGTGGTTACTTCTAGCCACTAAAAAACAAATAAAACAGTCTCAGTTTGGTAATTAATAAGTCCACTGTGATATAATATTTAAAGACTTTAATACTTATTCAAAAGTAAAGTTTTTCCCCCCTCAGAGCTCAGGCCTGCTACAAGTGAGTTGTCTGCAGTGGATATTGTGGGGGTGATTGTTCTTTCATTGCTTAATGCCTCTGTGTTCCTCCCCTACTTACTAGGCTATTTCTGACTTCTACAGGGTTGATTTGGGGGAAAGAGAGATAAAGTAAGGAACAGCAAAAGTTTTAGTAGTGCCATGAGATTGCATTATGCTCTCCATGGACATCTTTCTCTCAACAGATGCTTTCCTATGTTCTTCAGAGTCACACCTTCACCCCTAGGCACCGAGTAGTGTTTTTTCTCTTTTAGCTGTACATAAAATAGTATGTCTTGCAATCCATGGTGTTTTAAGTTAGAATCTATTCTAAAATTCTAATCTTAATAATGTACTATGAGCTATTAGCCAAAATATTGAACTGAGGCAATAGCTATGCAGAATGCAATTTCGAGTGGATGCTATCCATTGATACCAACAGTAACTGCACCACATATATTGCTTACTACGAGCCAGGCACTGTTTCAAGTGTTTTTACTTAATTATCTTAAATTTAATTCTTTTGGGTAGGTTACCTCATTTTATGGGTGAGGACACTGGAGTAGAGGTTACATGACTTGGCCAGTGCCTCATACATAGTGGATGAGTGAGATGTTTCCCTTAGACATAGCATTTTTTACCTGCTGGCAAAAAGAACTGTTGTTCTAGAGAAGTAGTTTATGAAAATATACTACTAATTTTTAAATTTGCGGAAGAATGGGAATCTATTTGCAGGACAAATAGCAATATAGTTTTTCTCTAAGGTCCTGTGATAGGCAGAATAACAGTCCCCTCACCTGGCCAAAGATGTCCAGGACCTAATCCCAGGAACCTGCAGTGTGTTACTTTGTGATGTTACCAAGGGTACAGACGTTGAAATGCGGAGATTATCCTGCACAATCCAGGCCCAATCTAATCATACAAATCCTTAAAATAGGAGAACTTTTCCCAGCTGCAGTCCAAGGGAGATGTGACTATAGAAAAAGGGTCAGAGAGATGCAATGTTGCTAGCTTTGAAATGGAGGAAGCTGTTCATGAGCCAAGGAAGCTGGAAAAGGCAAGGAAACTATTCTCCTTCAGAGCCTGCACAAAGGAACCCAGTGCTACTGACACTGATTTTAGCCCAATGAGACCCCAGTGGGGCTTGTCTACAGAACTATGAGAACACGTTTGTGTTTTTAGTTACCAAATCTGTGGTAATTTGTTAGAGCAACAATAGCTAACTAATACAGTCTCATGTAAGGTAACGTAATTAAATGAAATACTGTATAGTGTGTGAAAACATTATTGTAACAATTGCAGGAACCATTTTTTGATTAATCAAGCTATAAAGTCTAGACAAGTTTTAGATATGCAGTATCTATTTAAGTCTTGAGCAGTATGCTGCCCTAAAGATTCTTACAAAAGCAGTCTGGATGGTTTTCTTAGAGTAGCGTTTTCCCATAATGTATGATACAAACCACTGGTAATTTTAGATGGCGCACGGAAAAACTTTAAATTGTAATAGCATTTTTACGTTTACCTTTAAGGCAGGCGTTACTAGTTTTGTACTCACATAAGTGATTTATGGTTTACTGTATTTTTAATGTGTATGACCCAAGGAAACGCGCTAATTTCACGCAGCCTCCCCGTGGGTGACCTGAAGCGTTGGCGTCCCATGCAGCCGAGCAGCACTCGAGGAAGGCATCACTGGCTCGCCTTCCAAAGTTCCTAGGCGTGAGGCAACATGATGAAGTTACCAAGCACCAAACGTAAGCCAAAGGGCCAGGCTCGAGGGGAAGACGGTCTCTTTTCAGGCGGCCACCCTCCTTAAACCAAAAAAAACAACCCCAAACGCGTTGCCATAGAATGGATTACAGATCACAGCGACCACCCGAACTCGTGGTATATGCCACACACTCTCAGCAGCAAGCTCCGCACAAGCTCAGCGAGGGATCTCAAACACCGCGATACTTGCAACTATCCCGCGCTTTGTGTTACAGGCCTCTGGGGAAGAGACCAAGATGGCTCCGCCCATATGGGAAAAACACAAAAAAACAAAAAAACCCACAAAACCCTCCCCCAAGCTTTTGTTCTCGCGAGATCCCGCTGACGGTTCAGGGGCCCGTTCTCGCGGGATATTCCGAGTTAGGTTTGCAACGAGCTTTAGGCTGCAGAGGAAAGTCCAGGAAAAACAGAGAAAGGAAGGCGTTGTCATGGCCGTGTGTTGTCTTCTTTCGGAGGCGGCGGCGGCGGCGGAGCCCGAGACGACTTGGTGAGCGCTGCCTTGCCAGCCATACACAGCGCCCTCGGATTCTGCCGCTGCCTCGTACGTTGCCATCTTCTACTTCGTGGGTCCTCTTAGCCTCCACCTTTGGTCCCCGCCGTCCCGTGGCTTCGGGCTCCAGGCGGGCGATGTACGGAGGGCGGCAAGAGGTGTTACTGGTGTCTTCCGCCGCCTGTCTGGTGTTAAATGCCGCCAGGCTGCCAGGCCCCTCCCCCTGGCCAGATGGAGCTCTCCGCCCTGAAGTCCCGCGCGGAAACCGCCGGCAAAGGTATAGGCTTTGAGCTCGCCTCCTTGCCCAGACACCTGTCTTTACTGCACTGGGTGGACTCGTTCCTGCCAGAACTCTTCGCGTTTGGGTTTTACCCTGCGGCTTCTCTGAATAATAGGAGATTGCGAACCCCTTAAGGGCTGAGATCAATTCTTTGCGATTCAGTACTGAGGACCTGGACTCTGAATTCAGACTACCCTTCGTCGTAGTCCTGACTCTGAGAGTTACTTGCTGAGCATCTTTGTGCAGTTACCTCATCTGTAAAATTAGGATTATTACTGGGTTGTTGGCATTACTAAACGAGATGGAGTATGCAAAACACTTACGTAGCGCCGCGTCTGGCCCGTAGAAAGCGCTCAGTAAATGTTAGGTATCTTCATTCTTAATCCTTGTATGCATTAGTTCTTAGTGAGTGGTAAGATTTTGTTGTTAAGTAGATGAATAAGGATTGAGATACTTAGTTCAGTTTACTTTTATTACACCAAGAGCTTAATATATGATGTACTGAGTTAGAGCCTTATAGTCCACCTTTATTTTTTATTGTGCTTTAGGTGAATGTTTACAGTGCAAATTAGTTTCTCATCCAAAAATTTATACACAGATTGTTTTATGACATTGGTTGGAATCCCCGAAATGTGTCAGCACTCTCCCCCTTTCCCTTTACACCCCCGGTTCCCCATCTCCATTTTCTAGGTTTCCTGTCCCTTCCTGCCTTCTGTCTTTGCTTTTGGGCAGGGTTGCCCATTAGGTCTCCTGTACTTAATTGAATTAAGAAGCACGTGAGTGTGTTATTGTTTGTTTCGGGAGTGGCTTCAGTTCTGAGTTAGGAGGGTGTCCGGAGGCCATAGTTTCGAGGATCCCTCTAGTCTCTGTCAGACCAGTAAGTCTGGTGTTTTTTTGTGAATTTGAATTTTGTTCTACATTTTTCTCCTGCTCTGTCTGGAATCCTCTATTGTGACCCTTGTCAGAGCAGTTGGTGGTGGTAGCCTGGCACCATCTATGTCTTCTGGGTTCAGGCTGGTACAGGCTATGGTTCATTTGGTCTTTTAGTCCTTTGGTATATTCCACCATTAACAGATCATCAAGAAAGAGTTTAAAATAAGGAAGGTGCAGTAATCTGTCACAAGTCAGCTGGGATGCCTTCTTGCCCCAAATTCATAGCTTTCATTAATAATAGTGATATAATAAAAACTACCGGGTACTGAGTTCTTGTTCTGTGCTAGCCGTATGCTGATTGTTTATCTACATGCTTGCTTTTGAGACAGGTTGGTCTGATTTAAATAGATGAAGATTTCAGAGCTAAAGTTCAGAAAGTTTAAGTAACATGCCTAAACTCAGAGGGCTAGGAATTGATGAAGCTGTAACTCAGGTATTTACTACAGTGTAAATACCTGTTGTAGCCTAGCGGGTAAAATAAATAGATCAAACTCCTGAGTTGAGGTTACGGTGACTGAGATGCTCATACCTGTTAAAGGGGTGTTTTAGTTACCTAGTGCTGCTTAACACAAATACCACAAGTGGGTGGCTTTAAAGAACAGAACTTTTCTCATAATTGAGGAGGCTTGAAGTCTGAATGCAAGACTTTGGCTCTAGGGGAAGGCTCTAGGAGAACATCCTTGTCTCTTTCAGCTTCTGTAGCCCTGGTGTTCCTTGACATCTGTCTTCCCTACCCCCCTTTTATCTCTGTGTGTGTTCTGGTGTTTTTATAACTCAGAAGTGATTAGGTTTAGGATCCACCCTATACTGGGATGTCCTCAACTGATTGATTATATTACATTAAATTACATTATAGAAGGTGATTACATTGCATTAGATGTAAGGTCATTGCATTACATTACATATTACATTGCATTACATTATGTAATGGAAGGTAATCTGCTCTACCCAAGGCCAACTGATCTAGTCACAAGGTACTACTCCGTGACAGCAGCTAGGCTAGTGTTTGGTCAAACAACTGGAAACCATAGCCTACATAAGTTGACATATAAAATTAACCATCACAAGGGGGCAGGGACTACTCAGCTCCAGGAGATTGTTTATTTATATGTGAGCTAGTATAGCACGGCTGTAAGTTCTGATGTTGTTGTCAGTTGCTGTCAGTTGGCTCTGACTCATGATTATCTTATGCGTAACAATGAAGCATTTCCCAGTCCTGCACCATCCTCTCGATCATTGGTTAAAATCCAGGCGCTGTTGCTTAATAGCTGTGTGACTTTGGGCAGGTTGGTTAACCTTTGTCTGCTTCCTCATTTGTAAAATGGAACTACTAATATTGCTTATATGATGTAATGAAACAGTTGTTGTGAAGTTTAAATGAACTACTGCATCTAAAGCACATCCAGCACACTGAAGCCCTCAAATGTTAGCTATATGTAAATAGTCATGAATTCTATAAGTATTTATGGAGTTTTAGACATCATTCTAGGTGCTCAGGATATAGCAATGAGCAAAAATTCCTGCTCTAAGGGACATATATTTAAGTTGGAAAGACAGACAGTTACAGATATATTTTTCTCTGAAAATAAAATCAAGCAGGATAAAGGAAGAGAAAGTGGTATGGGGTGCTAATTTAGATTGGGTGGTCTGGCACCATTTGAGCAGAGACCACAATGAAGTGAAAAAATTGGCCACTTAGGTATCTAGGGAAAGAGTGTTGGTGAAAGGAACAGAAAACTTAAGGGCCCAGGCGGAAGCATGCTTGCTGTGGTTATGGAGTAGCAAGGAAGCCAATTTGGAATGAAAGAGGGAGCTAGTGTAGGAAATGATGTTAAAGAGGAAGGGAGGGACCAGATCTTAAGGAGTCTTACCACCCTACCCCCATCCAATCTAACAGGAAATCCTTCAAAATTACGCTGTTTGTTCCCTAGTATGGATACTGAGAGATTCTAGCCTGAGCTCAAACCTAACTGAATCTATTTCATTCTAGAATGTATCCAAACTTAGGAATCAAATAGATTTAGACACTTTTTTGGGGGGATAGCTTTCATTATCTGGACTTTTGCTACTCACTGCCAGAAACTCAGAAATCGAATAAAAAACAAAAACAAACCTGTTGCTGTTGAGTCAATTCTGACTCATAGCAAACCTATAAGACAGAGTAAAACTGCCCCATAGGGTTTCCAAGGAGCGGTTGGTGGATTCCAACTGCTGACCTTTTAGTTTTAGCAGCCGTAGCTCTTAACCACTGAGCCACCAATAGCTCCTGAAAAGTTATTGTATGAAGAAACCCCTATGGCTTTTGCGCATGCTGTACTCTCTGCCTGGGACACTCTTCTTAGACCTCCTTCTGTCCTCTTCTTTCAAAGCACTTATTACACTTACACACACACACACACATATTTGTGTACTTTTTAGTATTTGCCTATGAGATCAAGCATCTGTTTTCATTAATAAATTGATTCAGCCTATGTTTATTGAGTGTCTGCTGTGTATTGGTGCTATGGTTTTGAACAAGTCAGACATCGTCTTGGAAAGGAATTTACACTCTAGAGGGAGAGATAGACAAAAACACGTAAACAAAATAATTAAACATTGTGATAAGTTCTGTAAAACCAAAACCCTGTTGCTGTCAAGTCGATTCCGACTGACTGATGGCGATCCCATGTGTTAACAGAGTAGAACTACTCCATCAGGTTTTCTTGGCTTTAATCTTTACGGAAGTAGTTTGCCAGGCCTTTCTTCCAAGGAGCTACTGGGTGAGTTTTACCCCCAGCCTTTAGGTTAGTAGCCAGTTGCAAACTGCTTGTGCCACCCAGGCTTCTGGTAAGTGCTATACCAAAAAACCAAACCCATTGCCGTCAAGTTGATTCCAACTCATATACTGAGATAGAGAATAATGGGGAGATGACATACGAACAGCTGGAAGAAGACCTGCTTAGCATGTTTGAGTCAAGGGAAAAATTGATAGAGTAAGTTGTAGGTGTAAGTAAGGACAAATCATACAAGGCTTGTAGACCATAGTGGGGAGTTTAGACTTTATTCTACGCACAGTGGATACTCACTGAAAGATTTTAAGTTAAAGATTGACTGATAATTTCTAGTTTTAAATAGTCGTTCTTGTTGCTGTGTGGAGAATGGATTGTAGGGGGAAAATAGTGGCAGCAGAGTGACCGGTTTGGAGTCTATAGCAGTGATTTAGGAGAAAGCTGATGGTGGATGCTTTAGGGCAGAGGCTGGCACTCTGTGGTCTGTGGGCCAAATCTGGCCTGCCACCTGTTTTTGTAAATAAAGTTTTATTGAAACACAGTCACACCCATTTATTTATGTATTGTCTTGTGGTTGCTTTTATGTTACAAGGGCAAGAGAATATGTGGCCTGCAAAGCCTAAAATAACAAATAGCTAAAATCTGACTCTTTTCAGAAAAAGTTTGCCAACCCTTGCTTTATCGAGATGTTGGCAGAGGCCATGGAGGATAGTGATGTATTTTTTAGGTAGAACCAGCAGGGTATTCTGATGGATTCGATGTAGTGTAAAAAGAGGATAAGAACTGACTAATGGTTTTCTACCTTGAAAAACTGGATAGGTGGTGATGCCATTCAGTGAGATGAGGGAAGACTAGTTGGGGGCAAGGTTTTGTCACCATAATTTTTACATTTGTTTTCTTCTTCATTTTTTACCCATTGTGTAATACGGCGTCTCATGAATAATTGGTGCTTAAATCATGCATGTTGAATAATTAATAAATGCACTAAGTCTTAAAAAATGAAAAGGCTTTTGCTGGGTAGGCAGACAAATCATGGGAAACAAATCATGTGTTAAGAACTGGTATTGGGATTAATTTAGGTTTTAGTGCTAAAACAGTGTTGTTTTGAAAATAGAGCCCATTAACCTATCTGTTTTCCCTGTATAGTGGATCAGGGTTTTAGTTTCCCGTTAAAACCCTGTCTTTTAGAATAAGGTGACATTTTGGGTCCAAAGATTAGACTGGGAAAACAGGTTTTTCACTGTGTACTTCTGCTTGTTACAGTAAAACAGCTTCACCAAAGTTAACAAGAACAATGGCTGTAATTTTGAGGAGGAACTGATGAGGAATATCCTAAGGAGCTATTATTGCTTAACAGACTGTAAACCTAGTCATATTATAATCATGAATGCTTTAAAAACCTAAACCTAGGAAGACCCTAGGAAACTACCAGTGGTCATCTGATCTCAATAAAAAGTGTATAAGACAAATAGTTCCTAATATTCTTACAGTTGTATCCATAAAATTCTCGGATTCTTGCTGTAAGAATTCAATTTGGAAAATTATTTTGACTTAGTTTCCTCTCCTTGATGCCTCTTGATTGTGCCAGTAATATACTCTATAGAGACCTGCCCCAATTCATAATGGTATATTTTCTGAATAGAAAATAAAATAGAGATGGCTGTATAGTTAAGCACAGAAGAAATTCATACACACACACACACATATACATGTATACATATATGTATATGTATATACATATGTATACACACACACACCCTGGTGGTACAATGGTTAAGTGCTTGGCGGGTAACTGAAGGGTTGATGATTTGAAGCCACCAGCAGCTCCACGGGAGAGAAGACCTGGTGATCTGCTTCTATAAAGATTACAGCCTAGGAAACACTATGGGGCAGCTCTATTCTGTTCTATAGATTCACTATGAGTTGGAATTGACTCAGTGGCACACTATATGTACACACACACACACACACACACACACACACACACACACAGACAGTTGTTGCTGTTGAGTTGATTCCCGCTCATGGTGACCCCCAAGTGTGCGGAGTAGAAGTGCATTCCATAGGATTTTCAAGGCTGTGGTGTGACCTTTGTAAGCAGATCACCAGGCCTTTCCAAGGTGCCTCTGGGTGGGTTTGAACTGCCAGCGTTTCATTTAGTAGTCAAGCACTTAACTGTGCCACCCAGGGAATGTGTGTATATGTGTGTGTGTGTATATATATATACACACACACACACGCACACGTTACTGTTGTTGTTAGGTGCTATTGAGTCATTTCTGTCTCATAGTCACCCTATGTATACACACACACACATACACACACACACACATCAAGTACAAAGGAGGGGCGAGAAGAGTAGGGCAGACTCTTCAAAGACTAATAGAATCTTAGCAAAAAGAGATCTTGGAGTTCACCTCCTTTAAAAACCTCAACTACTCAAAACCTTGTTGTTAGATGCTGTTGAGTCTATTCCAACTCACAGCAACCCTGTGTCCAACAGAACGAAACACTGCCCGGTCCTGCATCATTCTCGCAATCATTGCTGTGTTTGAGCCCATTGTTGCAGCCACTGTGTCAGTCCATCTTGTTGAGGGCCTTCGTCTTTTTTGCTGGCCTTCTACTTTACCAAGCATGATGTCCTGATAGCATGTGTGAAGTATGTAAGATGAAGTCTTGCCATCCTCTCTTCTAAGGAGCATTCTGGCTATACTTCTTCCAAGACAGATTTGTTTGTTTTTCTGGCAGGCCATGGTATATTTGGTATTCTTTGTCAACACCATAATTCAAAGACATCAATTCTTCAGTCTTCCTTATTCACTGTCCAGCTTTTTCATGCATATGAGGTGATTGAAAATACCGTGGATTGGGTCAGGCACACCTTAGGTCTCAAAGTGACATCTTTGCTTTTTAACACTTTATAGAGGTCTTTTGCAGCATACTTTCCCAGTGCAATACATCATTTGATTTCTTGACTGTTGCTTCCATGGGCATTGATTGTGGATCCAAGTAAAATGAAATCCTTGACCACTTAAATATTTTTTCCATTTATCATGATATTGCTTATTGGTCCAGTTGTGAGGATTTTTGTTTTCTTTATGTTGAGGTGTAACCCATAGTGAAGGCTGTAGTCTTTGATCTTCATCAGTAAGTGCTTCAAGTCCTTTTCACTTTCAGCAGCAAGGTTGTGTCATCTGCATATTGCAGGTTGTCAGTGTGTCTTCCGCCAATCCTGATTCCACATTCTTCTTCATGTAGTCCAGCTTCTTGGATTATTTGCTCAGCATACAGATTGAAAAAGTATGGTGAAAAGATGCAACCCTGATGCACACCTTTCCTGATTTAAATATGCAGTATCCCCTCATTCTGTTCAAATGACTGCCTCTTGGTCTACGTACAGATTTCACATGAACACAATTACGTTTTCTGGAATTCCCATTCTTTGCAATATTATAAGTATAATTTATCTTGTTTCTGTTTTTTGGAAAAGGTATTTATGTGAAGTACTTTATTTTCTCTTAACAGTAGATAGATGAGGTGGTACTTTATGAGCTAGATTTGGAAACTTTATTTTCTTCTTTATTTTTGTAGACAGATGGTGTCCAGGAGAAAGATGTCTTGCCCCTTCTCCAGATAATGGAAAGCTTTGTGAAGCAAGCATAAAATCTGTCACTGTGGATGAAAATGGAAAGTCATTTGCAGTCATTTTATATTCAGATTCTCTAGAAAGGAAAGTACCTCTTAGAAGACTTCAAGAAGTGAAATCTGTTAAAGATTGCTCCAGGAGTTTTATATTTGATGATGAAGATTTGGAAAAACCTTATTTCCCAGATCGAAAATTTCCATCATCTGCTATTGCTTTTAAATTATCTGAAGATGGAGACTGTATTCCTCACACTATTAATAGGTATTTGAGAGACTACCAAAGGGAAGGAGCCCAGTTTCTATATGGACATTACATCCAAGGAAGAGGGTGTATTCTTGGTGATGACATGGGACTTGGAAAAACAGTACAGGTATTTACTTTAATTGCTTTATAGTTAAAATTCAGTAAAGTCGTTTTATTATGTTCATGAGTGGCTACCATATGCAAATCTCTATGTTTACTCCTAGATGTTATGATAGTTATTTTCTCTCTCTCTCTGTGTATGTGTGTGTGTATTACCCATTAGACATTAAAGTCCTCAAAATTAAGGGCAGTGTCTCAGTCATTATTTTATCTTCAGTACTTACTTAGTACCTGTAACATATATTGTTCAGAAATGTTTATTTGATATAAGTTGGCTTGATTTTACCTTTGGTAGTACTAGTACTAAGATGTTAATTATATTTGAAGTGGTTTAGTCTTTCTAGTAGCACTTTATGGAAGGAAAGTATTCTGACGTTTGGTAAGACACTACATTGCATGGTTACACTGATTTCTTGTGGGTGTTTAGTGCATATTGGTTGGAGTTTATCTTTCAGAAATGTCTTAATCTGGGGTCCCTGGGCTACTAGGAGTTCTGTTAGTAGACTTTAGAGAGGCCCACTAGTTCTCTGAACTGTACACCAGAATTTGTACATGTGTGTACTTTTCTGCAGGGTGGATCTGTGTTATTTATACTGCTCTATAACAAATTACCCCAAAATTTAGAAGCTTAAAACAGCACTTGTTTATAATTTCGTAGGTTCTGTGAGCCACGTATCCAGGTGCTGCTTAGCTGGGTCCTCTGGCATGTCTTTCACAAGGCTGCCGGCATCTCCAGGCTGGACTGGGAAGGATTCACTTCCTAACTCACTGACATGGTTGTTGGAAGATTCAGTTCCTTGTGGGTTGTTGGACTGAGGCCTCAATTTCTCAGGAGCTATTGGCTGGAGGCCTCCCTTTGTTCCTTGGGCTTCTTCATAGAGCATCTTACAACGTGTCAACTTGCTTTATCAGGGTGAGCAAGTGAGAAGGCGAGAGAGTGCTAGTAAGGCAGAAATCATGGTGCTGTGTCACCTAATCACAGAAGAACCATACTCTCTATTTTCCTCTGTTCTGTGCATTTGAAGCAAATTGCTATGTCCAACCCACACTCAAGGGCAGAGATTACACAGGGTGGGAAAACCAGGAGGTGGGCCTAGTGGGAGCTGTGTTAGAAACTGCCTGCCACATGGACCTTAGCTTTCATTAGATTTTCAAAGAGATTTGTGACCCAGAAGGATTAGAGTTGTGAATCTAGACTTTATACTAAACAACTGCTCTGGATTTTTAGGAGTATTTGTCTAGTTTGTAGTTACGTCATTTCCTGTTTCCTTCATTATAATTTTAATCTTCATGATACCTCCTTTGGTTAGTTGGAATTCAAAGGTGTGTGAAAAACCAAGGTTAACATTTAAAAATAGCCAAATAATGCAACTGTGTATAAAGCTCTAGTATGAAAGTCTAGGCTAAAGTAAAGTTTTTCAGTAATCATAGTATATTACCATTAGCTATACTCTCTGTTCCTTTAAACTCAGGCAATGCAGACTGTTCTAGGCTCGCACATTGGAAGTACTGAAGAATTGCTTGTGGAAAGAACGAATGAATTTTTTCAGGAGAATAGGTGGCAAGATTAAAGACAGAAGTCTTTAGGAATCTACTATCTGACCAAGATATGCAGATGAGTACTAGAGCAAAGAAATAAGTAAATAAAGCCCTACTGTGACTATCTTTGGAGCCCTGGTGGCGCAGTGGTTAAGAGCTAGGTTGCTAACCAAAAGGTCAGCAGTTAGAATCCACCAGCTGCTCCTTAGAAATCCTGTGGGACAGTTCTACTCTGTCCTTTAGGGTTGTTAAGAGTCAGAATCAACTCAATGGTAATGGGTTTGGTTTTGGTTTTGGTTTTGGTGACTATGTATACTTTTACTGTTTTTGCGCATGCTAGAATGTTCTTTTGGAGCCCTCGTGGCGCAGTGGTTAAGTGCTCAGTTGCTAACCCAAAGGTCAGTGGTTCAACCCTAACAGCGGCTCTGTGGGAGAAAAGACTGGGCTACCTGTCCCCTATTCCCTCCCCCACCATTCCCCCCCCGCCCCCCGTAAAGATTACAGCCCAGGAAGTCCTATGGGGGCAGTTCAGCTCTGTTCTATAGGGTCATTATAAGTCGAAATTAACCCAACAGCACACAACAACAGAATATTCTTTCTCACTCTCCTTTGACTAGCCGGTGCCCATTCATCTTCAAAAATTAGTCAACAGATAGGTTGCCAGAGGATGCAACAAAAAGTGACCTGCAGTTTGGTCACCACCCTAAAACCTAAATACAATTCAAATTCCTGTGCATGATTTAATCTTAAAGTTGAATGTTAGGTTTCATCTCTGAAGCCTTTGGTACCCAGAATATTTTTTTATTTTACATTTGATAGGATTATTTTTAAAGTAGCTGATTTTACTGCACTATTTTACCTGACATACTGAAATCATAATTTTGTTGGAAGACTTTGAGCTGTTGTGTTACATGCTGTGAATGTGCTGTGAAAGGCTTTTATTTATTTATTTTAAATAATGTTTTATTGTGTCTTCAGTGAAAGTTTACACAGCAAATTAGGTTCCCATTTGATAGTTTCTATTCAGATTGTTTAGTGACATTATTTACATTTTTCGCAATGTGTCAGCATTCTCTTTAATTGTGTTCTGGTTTTTCCATGTCCAGTGTTGTAGTTCCCGTGCCTCCTTATCTTCTCATCTTTGCTTTAGAGTAATTGTTGACCTTTTGGTCTCATATAGGTGGTTTTTTAATGGGGAACCATACTCACAGTTAATTTCCTTTATTTTGTGTGCCAATCTGTTTTTTGCTAAAAGGTGACCTCAAGGGATAGTTTCAGTTCAAGGTTTAAAGAGTATCTCAGGGTGATAGTCTCAGGGAGTCCTACAGTCTCAACTGGCCTAGTAAGTCTGGATTTTTTAAGAATTTGAATTCTGTTCTTCATTTTTCTCTGATTCTGTCAGAGTCCATCTCTTGTGGCCCTGATCAGAATGGTCAATAGTGGTAGCCAGGCACCATCTAGTTCTTCTGGTCTCAGAGTAGATGAGGCTGTGGCTTGTGTAGGCTATTAGCCCTGTAGCTAGTTTCTTCTCTGAGACTTTGGTTTCCTTCTTTTTCTTTTTCTCCTAATGAGTAGAGACCAACAGTTATATCTCAGATGGCTGCTCACAAGTTTTTAAGACCCCAGACGCTACTCACCTCACTAGGATGTAGAACATGAACTTTGTGAACTGTCTTACGCCAGTTGACTCAGTTGTCGCAAGAGACTAAAGTCCTGAGTCTTCACACCTAGAAAACCAATCTCACAACGTGTTTGGTTATGTCTGAGATGTGTAACTGTGTCCTCTATGAATATATGTGTGCAGAACACACATATCTGTATTTACACGTACATATAGATATTTCCATCTGTGCGCATGTACGTACACAGCTGTACCTACCTGAACACATATATGCCTATACACATACATGTGACCATGCACTCATTTTTTGGTTATTGTTGGGATTGTTGCCAAATTATATACGTTATATTCTTTAGCACAAATATCCTTTTCTCTTGTATGCTTCTTAGTGTCATCATTTACTTTGGTCAGGCTGTGCTCATGATACCCACATTCTGTGCTACTTTTCCCATCACCAAAAATAACCACTACCTGTGATCTAGAGAGTGATTTCCTCTCCCCTCCCACTCATCCCTAGTAACCACCAATGAAAATAGGTCTCTGTACATGTATCTGTTCTTATCTTCTTATAAAATTGGGGTCTTAATATTTGTCCTTATGTGATTGACTTATTTCACTTAGCATTATGTCGTCCAGATCCATCCATGTTATAATATGTTTCATGGACTCATCATTGTTCTTTATGGTTGCATAGTAATCCATTGTACGTATCTACCACATTTTGCTTATCCATTCATCTGTTGAAGGACACTGAGGCCGGTTCCATTTTTTTGCTGTTGTGAATAATGCTGCAATGAACATAGGTGGGCATATGTCTGTCTGTGTCTCTTTTATTAGATCTTTAGCTTTTATACCTAGGAGTGGGATTGCTGAATCATAAGGTATTTCTATTTCTAGTTTTTTGAGGAAGTAGTATAAAAGACTTTGAGGGCTCATTTTCAGAGGACTAAAAAATTGTTTCTGTATTAATTTTGATACTTAGTTTGATTTGTCTGATCTTTGGAAACTTAGTTCTCTGGCTGTTGTTCTTGTAACTCAGAGAATTAATTTCTACGTAAATAGGCTGCTTGGCAGACCTATTTAAGGTAGAGCTCCTATAGAGATGATGACTAAGCTAGTTGAAGAAATATGAACAATGGTTAATGAATGTCATGGACTGAATTGTGTCCCCAAAAATATGTGTCAACTTGGCTAGGCCATGACTCCCAATATTGTGTGATTGTCCACCATTTTGTCATCTGATGTGATTTTCCTATGTGTTGTAAATCCTACCTCTATGATATTAATGAGACAGGATTAGAGGCAGTTATGTTAATGAGGCCTGACTCAATCTACGAAATCAGGTTGTGTTTTAAGTCGATCCCTTTTGAGATATAAACGAGAGAAGCTAGCAGAGAGACAGGGGGACCTCATACCATCAAGAAAGCAATGCCTGGAGCAGAGCGCATCCTTTGGACCCAAGGTTCCTGCGCTGAGAAGCAAGGACCCTCCCTAGAGCCAGCAGAGAGAGAAAGCCTTCTCTTGGAGCTGATGCCCTGATTTTGGACTTCTAGCCTCCTAGACTGTGAGAGAATAAATTTCTGTTTGTTAATGCCTTTCACTTGTGGTATTTCTGTTATAGCAGCACTAGATAACTAAGACAATGAGTTCCTTAGAATTTCAAAATGTAGTTGAATTGGTGGTAATGAAAATAGGCCATTGGCCTTCACTGTTTCAACTATAGTATTTATCTTTTTTCTGCCTCATTTTCCATTTTCCTGATTTCATCCCTTAAGTTTTCCCTTTCTTACATTCTAACATGGCTATAATATGAAATTGAGCTCTTTTCCTTATTGTTTTACATACCA